CCCCCCATGTCTGCCCCACCTGGCTCCATCTCTCGCCTGCCCCCCGACCCCCCCCCAATCACTGCCTCACCTGGCCCCAGCATCCCGTCAGTTGAAAAAAAAAGCCCCGCACTCACCAGCAGTAGCTGCTGCCGTCAGGGTCACTGGGGCCTCATGGCAGAGCCCCCCCACCGTGCAGCACAGGCCCCGTGTGGCAGTCACAGTGGCCCTAGCTGCCCAGCAGCGTGCAGAGCTGCACAGCGCCCTGCCGACCCTCACCACACCCATGCGATGGGGCAGTGGGATTGCGGGTGTGAGACAGCCAGGGCTGGACCCTGCTGCCCCCTCGCTGCCCCCATGCTGCGTGGGTGGCTCAGCCACAAGGCCCCAGTGACCCCCCACACCAGCTGCCAGTCAATGTGGGGGTTTTTTTGTTGTTTTTTTTTTAAGTGCCAGGAGGCTGGGGACAGGAGGTAGCCACTGGGGAGGCTTGGGGTGCAAGCGGGAGTGGGGTATGTGGACCTTGCAGGGGGGTGGTAGCCCCTGTGGGGGCCATGTGGCCCCTGTTGGGAGGCCTGCAGGGGGCAGTCTGTGAGCTGTGCAGGGGGGTGCACCCTGCGGGGAGCAAGGGGCCCACCCCTCCTGAGCAGCATCCCCTCACAGTCCCTCCACAATCCACCCACATCTACCCACACACTCCACAGCCCCTCATATCCCTCCACAGCCACCCACATCCCTCCACCCCCCTTCTCCCTGTCCTGCAAACCCCACATTCCCTCAGCACACACCCTGCATGCCCAGCTGCCAGACAGGATGAAACCTGCTGGCAGGAACTGTGGCTACAGGGGCATCTGTCACCATATCCTGGTTAGTGAAGGGGTCACAGGGAGCTTTAACTGCTCTATGGCTTCCAAATTGCTTGAACACTATAGATATATCAATAAAACATTGCCCAACTGATTGCTGTCTCTCTCTCTCTCTCTCTCTCTCTCTCTCTCTCTCTCTATATATATATATATGTGTGTGTGTGTGTGTGTGTGGTTTTTTGTTTTAATTGTGGAGAAACATGGATTTTGGGGTATTTCACACAGTGACTTTGGGATTTTCAATTTTCAAATAGGGAGCACCAAAATTCCTGCTAGGAAGGCAAGTGGCAGGACCCAAGCAGAGGAGCATGCTCAGAGCTGGCATCTTGGACCCAGCTAGCTGTGGCTGAACTCCTGGCCAATTGGGGCCAGGAGGACATGCTTTGACCGTTCATAGCAGGCCACCACACCGGGAACATCTTCCGGGCGATAGCTGCCCAGATGGCCAGGCAAGGGCACAAATGGCAGTAGTGCCACACAAAGGCCAACTCTGTAGCCACAGGCCACTGGCAGGGAACTCTCAGGGCTGCTTCAGCTGGCACAAGGGTTAGTGTCCCCAGGTACCAACTGGCTGGGCCCCAGAAGCTCCTGAGAGCAAGTAGCCCTGAGCTACTTGACAGGGTAGGTTTTTGTACTGATGGGGCCAGGAAAGGGAAGTTTTTTTATAATGCTGGGGATAGAACAGGAGCTGGCCCCGGGTTCTAGCTCTCCCTGGCTGCATATCCAGGAGGAGCCAGGCGGGATTCTTTTGCCCCAAGTGGCACAATTTGCCCCAGACCAAAGTGCATGTCCGGGCACGTGTGCTGAGGCAAAAAGCTCCAGCTCAAATTTGCACTGCTTCTATTTGAGGTGTTGCAAGCGCCTATGCAGAGGTGCAACAGAGCAACAGTGACTTCTGGCTGTTCATGCTGCCACTGCAGACATGCAGCTGTGGCAGCAGGTGTTGTTATTTTGCAACCTCCTGCCACAAGTTGGCACCCGGGGCTGTTGTTCCAATCACCTTACCTTAGTTATGCTGCTGGGGTTATGGATAGCAGGGGTTTCACTATTAATGACATTCTTAGGGCAGGAATGCTTTCTCTAAAAGAATGGGGGGTTCATATTTCTTCATTTTCTTCGTATTGCTGACCTGTAGATATCAAGACTTGTGCATTTTACAGTTGAATAAATAAATCACTGTCTGTACTGCTTTGGTTAGTCACATGGTATTTTTCTGGTCCTGAACGGATGCCTTATATAACTAATAGTATTGACCTGAAGAAGATTGCATTACATTTGAAAGCTTGTCTAAGTCTATCCCAACCATACAGTCGATCCAATTAAAGATATTATGCACTGAAATCCTTGCCCCTCACATATTTCCTGGATCATCATGGCTATAGCATCATTCAAATGCTAATAGGCGCTGTGAAATTCAGACTTTCTATTCCACTGTAATCATTACCTCAGCATTGTATTGTGGCATTGCATAGGTCAACTGACAGTCAGACAACAGAAATAATACCATGTAACTTCTATAACTGACCAGCATAGTGCAAATAATGCATTGCTTAATTTTTTTGTAGAATGTGCAATGTCAGCTAAGGAACAGCATCAGTTATTACCAAATATGAAATCAAAAATTGTGCTTCTGTGTACTTGTTAGAATTAGGCCATGGAAAATATTTGAAAACTCCTGCCAAACATTTACACCAGCCATTACATTACAGTATTATTATCCTGTGCTCTAAAGGAATTTTTACAACTGAAGGATATATCATCAGTGACAACAAAAACCCATAGAGAGTGTCTCCCCACAAGCGGGAACTCGAGTTTCCCCAGGGACAAATAGCAGCAGCACATATTTGTGCCGCTGCTACTTGCCCCAGCACACACATTGTGGCACACAGCAAGCTGCCCCAGGTGGGGTAGAGGAGGCTGGGGCCAGCACCTGGGCTAGTCCCAGCAGCCTTACCTGGAGTCCTGGGGGCCTCCCAAGGTTGTAGTGGCAATGATCTGGGCATGCAGAGCCTGACTGGCAGCTGGAGCATGGCTTTGGCCAGTCGGGCTCCCATTTCAGGCAGAACACACTGCTGCTACATGTCCTGCCCCACTTTTTTCTGGCACAGTTTCCTTTTACACTGGGAGATCCTGGTGTCAAAAAAACTGCTGTGCTGCAAATTAGCAGCATAGTGAATGCCTGCATGTGCAGTGAGTGAATTTGCAGGGCTGCAGATGGGTTCTTGGTGCCACAAACTGCATATGCGTGCTTGTCTGTACGCACCCAGAGAGGCTACATTCTTGATCTCCAGGTGCCTTTCTTTTAACAGATGCCTAAAAAGAAAGAAAATGTAGCTTTTTTCCTTTTCCTGATATATCTGCCTGCCCCTCACAAATCCCATTGCATGAGTCTCCAGTCATTGCCTCAGTCTTAAACAACTAAACAAAAACTAAGATAATAACCAGGAATCAGAATTGGGGGCAGAGGTGATATCTCTTATTAGACCAACAAGATATTTGCAAAAAAAAAATTCTTTATTTGCAAGCTTTTGGTCACAAGCCCCCTTCTTCAGTCACAGGAGAGAGCAAAGATTGTAAAAATTCTGCTAGGTAGAAATGAAAATGAAATATGAATTTTCATTTCTACCTAGGAGAACTTTTACAATCTTTGCTCTCTCCTATACCTGAAGAAGGGGGCTTGTGCCCAAAAGCTTGCAAATAAAGAATTTTTTTTGCAAATATCTAATTGGTCTAATAAAAGATATCACCTCTGCCATGAGTTCTGATTCCTTTCATCTCTAAGATAATAACCAGGTATTCAAAATAAAGTTGGATCTGGCAGACTGAAGAAGAAAAAGTTGAAATAAGAGAATGGAGTATTAAAAATTGCTTCATTCTCCTTCAATGCTTCCACACCATTCATTGGGCTATTGTAGAAAGTAGGTTTGTCATTTTACCATAAGTAGTTTGCTTTTCTTCAATAGATGCTAAAAAACATAAGTAGGTTTCTAAATGCTTATGAAAGAATGAGATTGAACTGAAAGCCCTCTGTACGTATTCTTTCCCTTCTTTACTTCCCCTCTCTCTTTAGCTGGAAGAACATCGTGCCGAGCAGAAAAAACTGAAGCACCTGCAGAAGAGACAGGCACAGATCATCAAAGAGAAGGACCAGCTGCAGAGTGAGCACAACAGAGCCATCCTTGCCCGCAGCAAACTTGAGAGTCTCTGTCGAGAGCTCCAGAGACACAACAAAACCCTCAAGGTAAGTAGGGGGCCTCTCAAATTAGACAGCAGGCTATAAACCCCATACTGACTGGGCAGGCTCAGAAACCTTTTCATTCGGGTCTAACATCACACTGAAAATAATTTTTACAGGAATGTACACAATATACAATTACTTACAGTGCATTTGATTCCTACTTACATTAAGGTTGCTTAAAACAGCTCCTAAAGAAGAAACTTTACAATGAGAGTTCATATAGAGTCCAACTTTTCTTTACAGCAATGGTATAGGATTTTTGCACTCTCAGAATTGTGAGATAAGCCTTATGGTGCACAAAATTTGGATGCAATAAGTGTGTGTATAAATGTATAAACATATAGAAATTATTTATGTAGATAATTTGTGTTGGTAAATCTACAGGTACAAATTAAAGTGTGTGTGTGTGTGTGTGTGTGTGTGTGTGTGTGTGTGTGTGTGCACACGCATGTATGTGCATGCGCACACACACACACTGGTGATTTTCTGCCAAAGATTCTCTATAGTTTCTCAGGTATCTTGATATAATTTGGATAGTAGGATATTTGGAAAAGAGGAATTAATATTGACCAAGCAAAGACATTGGCCTGATTTGCCTTGAAGATGGGGGGAATGTTGATTGGGTGCACAAAAAAATTCTGAACTTACAATAAGAGTTTGAGAGAAAAAAATTTAAGGGGTATGATGATTTAAACTATGCCTCACTCTTCCTTAATATATTATGCCATTTAGATGCTTGCTAAATCTGAAACATAGCCAGATATCTTTAAAGGTCTAATTCTCTATATATTTTCTTTTGAATGTAAACATTCAGTCAGGTATTTGAACATACCAGAAAGAATTAGCAACAGAAACAGCAGATGTAACAGTACTTGTTGTTCTTGTGGTCATTACAAAAAAATTCTGTGCTTTGATCTATTGATGCAAAGGAAAACGTTTTTGTAGGTACATATTGTATAAAGTTTACATAAATCAACAGACTTCAAGTCTCAGATGCAGAACCTCAGCTGATATAAATCAATACCGCTTTATGGACTGCTAATGGAGCCACATTGATTCACACCAGCTGAGAAACTGGCCTGCAGAGCCTACACTCAAAGGCTTGGTACAGACATTCAAAAAGCCTGAGGCAGAATTGATCTGAATTATGGAGTTTTCTGTAAGTGGCGTAGTTTAGATCAGTAGCAAACAGAACGCACATTCACCCTTTGGGGGAGGTCAAATCTTAGACTAGGTTCTGCCATTTTTAAACCAGGCTATGTGTGCTAAACTTCTGTTCTGTTACAGGTATAGACCAGTTTTGTGTTCTGAACTTCAGTCCTGTTACAGGTATAGACCAGCTTTGCGTGCCAAATTTCTGTTCCCTTATGGGTATAGGCTGGTTTCTGATCACTTATACCAGTAAAAATGTAATGTCTGTACCTGGCTAAATGTTAGTTATAAGCTGATCAAAATGGAGCATTAGCAAACTAGCTTCTTGGGCTAGGGACAGAAGTTACACATAAACTGATTTAAGTGATCAGAAACCATATTATACCTATAATAGAACAGAAGTTCAGTGCACATAAATGACTTTCAAAATGGCTGAAACCAGTTTAAGATGAACCTGGAGGTAGTGTCAGACTTAACAGATTTAGGTCAAACCAGTTGATGGAATTTCTGTCCCAGATCCCCTCCTGATTCCAGTTAACTCATAGTGCCTCAGCATCCCAGGATGCTCTGCAGACCTGAGCTGTGTTGTCTGCTCCAGCAGAGCAGAGCAGGGCTTGCCCCCCCCCCGCTGTCACAGAGCTGAAGCAGTAAAGCCTCTGCTCCCAAGCCGCTGCTTGTACCTAGCAATACAGTGGGATGAGGGCCATGGGAAGGTACCTCAGGCCCTTCTACCATGGGTCTGCACAGCACAAAGGGAGGGAAAGCATTCTCTGTTGGGCTTATCATCCCCCCACACACACTCTTGAGCTGGGCTGGAATCACCTTAGTCCCACCCCACCCCCCAGCTGCCCTTGCCTTGGAAAGGCTGCAGGGGTGGGGAAATGCACCCGCCCAGCACAGGAGACCTATCTGGGGTCTGCACCACATGACGGAAAGCCCCCTCCACCCTGTCTCCCCCTGCAGCCCAGATACCTGGGCTGGGATCCCTTAGCCCCACATCTTTACCAACTATCATTATCTCCAAAGGGCTGGGGGGGCAGGAGAATGCTCCCACCCAGCCCAGTACCAGTTCCCACCCCCCCAACTGGGGCTTGCAAGAGACCTGCAAAGATTGAAACTATTCAGCCTCAGGCTTTTTGACTGTCTGTACTTAGCCTAGGAGAGGCTATGGCCCTGTCTACACAAAGAAACCATGCTAAAAGTTAAAAGCTCTTGAATCAAACCAGGACAAACCTCTCTGTGGACACTTAATTTTGTTTTCAGATAGTTTCTATCAGTTTATTTTACTCTTGTAAATTAAACCAATATAAGGCATTTTTAAAGTGATTTAAAAGTGTTTACTCAAAGGTTTGTACAGGTTTAACAAGGTCATTTTAGAAAGCCACGCCTTCAGGCTGCTTGCAGATGTGGGAAAAAAAACCTAGTGTTTTACTTTAAACTCAGCAAACTTCCACCCCAAGCCCAGCAAATGCCCAGAAGAGGCAATGAGTTAGTTGCACCTAGCTTTCCCAGCATCCATAGAAATAGGGCACTTTAGTGGGGCTTTTTTGGCACTTTTATCCAATATCTGATTGAATCAGCTTTAGCTAAAAGCTCCACTGAAGCGCCCAATCTTTACAAACACTGCAGAACCAGGCCAAAGTAACATGATGCTGCTTCTGGTACTGTGCATTTCCCCCCTGCCCCCCCCCC